AAACACAGGGAATCCAGGACGGATGATCCCTTCAGGACTTGTGGCAGGTGGCAGGACTTCATTTCTCTTTGTGGCTTAGTAGTATTGCATTGTGCAATATACTGCATTTTGCTTATTTTTGCATCTGTTGAAGTACTTTTTTTAGGGTGCATCAAATCCCGCTTATTTGTGAATTTCCTTCTCGTATTGATTTGTAATGTTGCTCCACTGTGGCCAAAGAATATACTTTGTATGACTTCAAGCCTTTAACACTTATTAAGGCTTGTTTTATTGCCTAACATGATCCACTCTGGAGAATATTCCAGGTACCTTTGAAAAGAACGTATATTCTGCTGTTGGGTAGAATGCTGTAATATATGGGCCATTCTTGGGTTGTGAATATTCTTCTTAAGGACCTCTGAGCAGGGAGCTGCAATCTTTGAATCCTTGATTTAATGTTATGTAAATTTGCCCTCACTTTAAAATGCCTGAATCAACCCTTACCTGCAACCATTCCTCCATCACAGTCATCTTCACTTGCTGTAGCTTTTACTTCATTGAAAGAAACGTCGAGCTTTTCTTGGACTAACATACCCACCGCCACAAAGTTGCTTCTGACTCAGAGTGATCCTGTATAGATTTTCCAAGATTATCAATCTTTATGGAAGTAGACAGTCTCATTTTTCTCCCACTGAAGGGCAGGTAGGTTTGAACCACAGACCTTGCAGTTAATATCCCAGAGTCAAGCTAAATAAGAATTGTTTGCACCAGGTGTGATGTAAAAATTCTTAAAAACAAAAAATACATCTCTGTGGTAGTTATATAATTTGGTGTCAACTTGAGACTATTAAAAGAGATGAGGTGGAGTTTAGCCTGTCAATCAGGTTGCAGCTTGATGACCTCATTTGGAGCCACTATGGTGATAAATAGCTCACTGGAGGCCAGAACCACACCCTCTACTTCGTTGTCCTGCTCACAAAGCACAAGGGGATATGCGATGGAGCCAGAGCCCTGGAGCTGGAGGAGTCACATGGAGACCCACACCAGCACTGAGATGGTTCCACCACCACTGGTCTGTGATCTTCCATTGCATGTGTTGCATGAGTCTGAAGAGGAATTTATAGACCAGTATCGGACATATGGGATAATATTGGACTTATGGACTTGATCTGGGCTGGGATGTTTTCTTAGTATACAATTACTTTTTGATATAAAGCTCTCTCTTATACACATATGAGTACTATGGATTTGTTTCTCTAGTCAAACCAGACTAACACAATCTCATTCCTAATTTTGGGCCTACTTATATATGTTAGATCTAGTGAGTTTATAGTGCTGTCCAAATCTATTTCCTTATTTTCTTTTGCCTCATTATTCTAGTCATTACAAAGTGAGGCTTCCAACTGTTACTGTTGAGTTGTCTATTTCTCCCTTCAAGTCTCTGAGTTTATGGATCTGTATTAATAAAAACCAGGGATTGATGATGCCCCACATGTCTAACTCTTTCATGATGTTATTCAGCTTCATTTCCCCCCACTCCTCCATTGAGTATATTCCTTCACATTTCTGGGTTCTGTGAATCACTGCAGCATCCCACAGAAGCTCAAGAAAGTATGAGATAATGTCTCGTGTGGTGGTGGAGCTGTTCAATTCAAAAGGCAGGGAGTGGGGAAGCAGATGCTGGGTCCAGAGGTCATGCTTCATTCCTTGCTTTTGCCAGCGATGAGATCACACTCTTTGTTCCTCAGAAGTCTCATTTTATCCACAGTAGGATGGCATTTCAGGGAATCCTGTTCACAGTTACTCATAGGTGAATCCTATCTTCCTTCACCATCTTACCAGACCAATCACTGTCCAGGATGAACATGGTCCAACATCTTGAAGATTCAATGTTCCTCAAACATTTGGGAAGCAACTGCACTTTAAAAAAACTATGATAACAAACTACAGGAGTATTATGGAAGACAATGCAAATGTCATTAAAAGCTTAAGAAAAGTCTTGAGACTTAAAGAATGTTTGACTGTGGCAACTTGCCTTGGTCGAAGAACAGAATCCTTGAGGTACATGCATTTACTCTCCTTACCTAGTAAGGATACATAGGTGGAAGGATTTGGCAAGAAATGGTAATCACCTTTGAGCTGATCTTGAGAGTTTGAATTTTCAGTAGATATCAGGAGCCCTGGTAGAATAGTGGGTTAAGCATTGGGCTGCTAACTACAAGGTCTGCAGTTTGAAACTGCCATTCTGAGAAAGAAAGAATAGAGCTTCTACTCCCATAAAGATTTACAGACTCCGGAACCTACAGGTGCAGTTCTACTCTGCCCTTTGGGTCATTGTGAGTCAGAATCAACTTGATGGCAGAGAGCTGGGGTTTTTGAATCAGGAGATCAATAAAACTTCCTAGCATCCAAATGTGTCTGCTCTTTTCTATGCCACCCCTCTGCCCCCGCCCCATATCTCTAGGGAGACCTAAGCTGTTGATTCAAGCTGTAGAGGGAGGCAGTCCTGCTCGCAGTCATCCCAATAAGAGACCTTATGGTAATTAATCTGCGGAAATCCAAATACACATACAAAGCCAGAGCGGTGTGATCTGAAGCTGTGGTCCCTCAACGTGCCAGGAATCAAAGTTAGAGGTCTACCCAATGGATTGGTCATGGAAAACTTGTTCTCTGCAAGACCTGAAGACAAACTCTGATATTAATGACTTCAACTCTCACAAGCAGCCGGAGAAGCCATAACAATTTCCAGTATGAAAGCTGCAAGTGCCCAGCTTTGGTTGGAGGACATTCTAGTTAGAATGAGACACTTCTGTAATGCCTATAGCCGCCACACCCAAAATAACAGACCCACAGTCGTCAAGTCTATCTCTGATTCACAGAGACCCCACATAAGGTTTCCAGGGTTGTAAACCTTTATGGGAGCAGACAGCCCCATCTTTCTCTCATGGAGCACTTAAAATGATTTCCTTAAAATAACAACGAAAATGGAAGGTTTTAGCATATTAGAAACTATGCTAATAACCAATGTTTAGACAAGAAGATTCTTTTCTCCAATTACTATCTTCCCGAATATCCTAACGCATAGAGAGAAGTTAGATAATAACTTGGAGTATAAATCCTTATTTCATAAGGTTGTATAGCTTTGGACATGCGATCAGGAGAGACCAGACCCAGGAGGAGGACATTTTGCTTGGTAAAGTGGAGGAGCAGTGGAAAAAAGGCCCTTAACAAAATGGATTGACATAGTGGCTGTAACAATGGGCTCAAATATAAGAACAATTGTGCGAATGGTGCAGGACGGGATATGCTTTTTCATTCTGTTGAACACAGGGTCGACTTGACAGCACCTAACAAAAACAGCAGCTGGCAGAAAAAAATAGATCTCAAGGACAGCCTCTATATCCATATTATCACAATTAGTTATGTATTGTCAGTAGGAAACCACTGATGGAAAATGTAAAATATTTCTAAAATTTAACATATGATGAGTTCATGTCAACAAAAATAGTTAGGATTCTATGATCTAATTTTGAAATGAAAAAGAACAGTCGGTAAAAAACCAACAACTAGCTTCCATATTGTTATAGATGTACCTTACCTAATGGTCAATTTCACAGGCTCAGGCGACCCATGGACATTGATCAGGAACTCCTCTTCGAAGTAGCCCACGATGGAAGAACTGAAGGAGATCTGAATGGCTTGGACTCTGCTTGGTTCAAGGATGCCTTCTTTAGGACTGAAGACAAAACAGGCCCCCAACGCTGTAGCTGGAGGCATCACATTGAAGAGGGCATCAATGCTGCCTTTGTTGGTGAGTATCGTCTGTATCAATAAAAAGGAAGGAATGAAAAGGTAGGCAATGAACCTCTCTTCCCAAGCTCTAAATTGATCTATTTCATGTAACCATGTGGCGGTAATGCTTGACACACGTTAACATGGTTTAAAGTTGCAGACATTGTTGTTATTAGGTACTGTTGAGTTGTTTCTGAAACACTGCCCAGTCTTGTGCCATCTTTACAATTGTTGCTGTTCGAGCCCGTTGTTGCAGGCACTCCTGTCAATCCGTCTACCTGAGGCTCTTCCTCTCTTTTGCTGACCTTCTACTTCACCAAGCATTCCAAGCATGGTGTTCTTGTCCAGGGATTAGAACCACAGAAAAAAGCTTTAGAGGAAGAATGGACAGGCTGATGTCTTGAATATCTGAAGACAGGAATCCCAAGCCAGAAGTTAATTTTGTGTGCTCGCTCTCCTTTTATGAACGGAGTTAGTCATCTATCATATTCAAGATAGAGAGACTGACCATATCACATCTACTGATGACGAGCTTTCACATACCCACCACAATTGTTCTTTGTAATATTCTCTATGAACTAACTGAAGAAGAGGCCTTTCTGTTATACATATGACAAGGCTGATGCTAAATAGAATACTGAAAAAACCAAAAGCTAACCATATTAAAGGAACAGGAACTACCTAAGCCTTTGCTGAAAATGTAGCCTGAAGAATGTGAAAGAGATTCTATGGTGGGTTCCCAAGGAAAAGAATTGTCTTTGCTGTGCTATTAAATTGAATTATATTGGATAGATCATTATTTTGGGATACTTAAGCAAGGAATTATTTTGCTACAGAACAGTTTTATTCCTATATACAAGTGCTCTGCACCCATATTATTGCCCATAATTGGTTGTGTACCAGATTTGGTACATATATGTAAAGAACTCACATCTGGTGTTCAGGGTCCTCCACAGCTGCCCTCAGCCTACTGCTCCTGCCTCCCCACCCCCACCCCTTCTTGCATATGAACCTGCATTTCAGTCCGCCTGTTCTTCTCTTGTGCTTCCACAGATAGCACCCTATCCTGTGCCAGGGCTGTCTTTGTACCTGGGTGAGTAACAGAGTCCTGGTGGTGCTGTCAGGTAAGCATTGGACTGCAACCCCACAAGGACTGTAGTTCAAAGCCACCAGTGACTCTAAGGAAGAAAGATGAGGCTGTCTGCTCCCGTAACAATAGATGGCCTAGGAAAGCCTATGTAGGCGAATTGACTTGCTGGCAGTAGAGGCGGTTTGCACTGGAGAACAAAGAACACAGGAGACTGCAGAGACACAAGAAAGGTGGCAGGAAAAGGTGGAGCACATCAGGGTCTTGAAGGCGAGAGCAGTAAATTTCCAGAGTGGGCCAAATCGGGAAGAGGTCAAGGAGAATAGGCTCTATGAAGAGATTACAATGATTTATTTTCAAGTAGAGGTCATCCCTGACTTGAAAGCGGGGAGCAACTCCAATGGAGTGTGGCTGAAAAAGCCAGAGTACAAATGCTCAGGGAGTGGGTGAGTACATGATTATCCCAGGTCCCTCTTTTGAATAAAACCAGGGGTGACCAGTGAGAAAGAAGCGGCAAAGCCATGGGAAGGCAGGACACGGGAGCCTGAGTGTAAGACAGTACGTGAACATGAGCGTTTGTGGCCGTTGTAAGACAAGAGGGTTGGGTAACCAAGGGAATGGGGCCTGACAGAATGTGGAGGAGAGTGCGTGCCGGCACTGCAGCCATAGCTTGAGAAGCAGAGAAGAGGACGGCACAGAGCTCCTTGCGGAGAGAGACAACTACTTCAGCTAAGAGAAGAAGGGCCTGTGTTGCAATAGATACTCATGTCTAGATAACTGCTGCTTGATACTGTATTCACCTTCTTTATGAATACTGCCCATCTGCTTCTTTCTAAGTTCCCTGGTAGTAGAAATCATGTCTTATATTTCATTCTTTTATATAAAAAGACCATGTAGCAATGTGACTATGACCATATCCCAGCTCTGCCACTGACTTACCAGCTGTGTGATCTGGTACGAATGAGCACTGGTCATGCAGAGGTGAAGAGCTGGGTTCTAATTCACCAGCTGCTCCACAGGAGAAACATGTGGAGGTCTGATGCTTCCAAATATACTACAGTCTTGGAAACCCCATGGGGAAGTTCTACTTTGTTCCAAAGGAATGAGAATTAACTCAGTGGCAATGGGTTTTGTTTTGCTTTGTTGGTGAACTTTGTACAACCTCCTTACGCAGTTTCCCCCTCTGTAAAATATGGTTACAACTACTACTCCTGTAACTCTTGAACAGTGGCTGGCAAACAGTGTTAATAAATGATAATGACGGTTCTTTATATGGCCAGCGCCAGCAGGATATGTTTAAGGTTTAATTGCCCTTAAGAAGGAGCCGTGGTAGTATTAAGGTAGCAGAAGGACATTGGGCCTCCACTCAAGTACTCCCT